AACAGATTTGTTACACGGTGTCATCCCGTACAGAGATGTGGACTTTTCGAATCTACAACTATATTTTCGAACGTGCGATGGTGCACAGCATAAAGTAAAATAGGACTAAGGTAGTTCTGAGTCGGAGTCACATGGCTCGCTTTACCTCGGTTTCTCGGATTTCCAAAATGTCATGGTAGAGTAGGCTTGACTTCTCACAAAACAGATCTCTGAGAATCGCCAAATGACACTCGTCGAAGTCGCTGGACAGATCCGAATTCGAGAGATCCTAAAAGCGTGATATGAGTGATCAAGAAATAAAGTAGTGCAGTTCTGCGTGCCTTCCACCGCTCTTACCGTGTATCCGTCTTGGCGGCCTTCGGCGAACCTCGACTCGTCGGTCACGGCATTGGAGTCGTGGTCGTACAGAAGAGCAGTCGAGTCGCTCATCAGGACGTCGTCGTCTTCGTCGTTCGAAGACTCGCCCTCGTACAAACGACGGAGGTCATCCACCGCCATCGTATCCTCGATGCCGGTCACCTCTTTCAGCATCGTCGTCGTCTGTCGCTTCGTTGTACAGCGCGACCGGCTGGTCCACGTCCAACGTCCTTCTCTACCTTTCACGTGAGGTCGGCCAACGCCGCATGCTCTCACTATGGCTCAAACAACGCTTCGGTCGAATGCTAATACACTTGTCTGCCATTTGCATCGAACCGATCCCTGGTAACTACACCTATAGAACGAAGGCAGTTTGATGAGTGGGATAAGAAATCAGAGTATCGTCTCGACAACGCGACGCGAATGTTGCTTACACATCAGAACAGAGAGGCGAATGTTGCACACAGAGGTCAGCAGGTCAAACGCGAGCGGATAGCGGATAATAAAGTACTCCAATGAATCGCCTCTTGCCAACGCTAAAACTACCACATCTAAGTAGCTTCGCAATGGGCAGTCGAATGACGCAGCGTGACGAGGCTAATTCCCGTAACTCGGCCGTTAAACAGCTCTGATACTAAATTCAAATTCTGGTCGCCTCCTTCCCTTTCCGGATAATGAATGTGTGCATTAAGCCATTTGCTATCTCAAGGCTGTGCTAGTAAGCTTTTTTATTCTTCTTAAGAAAGATGTTACAATAACACAAAATAAATATTTCCTTAAATTTTCGATTCTGGGCCCAAAATTACGACGATGAATCTTTGAACAATTCATGGTT